TTTAAATTCATTGCCTTATTCTTTCTATTCTTACATGTTTATAATATAAGTATAATATGGACGGGGAAATGTCTTACGGGAAAATGGTCACGGAGAAACATCTGACAGGGAAATAACAGACGGGGAAGTGTTCATGAGTCCTAAAATTGCATACAACTTATATTTTTGAAGTATTTCATTTCGATGAGATATAAAAAAATACATACAATTTATTTTTAAACTTAAAAATGTTAAGTAGTAACGAACTAAGGAGTTGAACTTCTCATAAATATACTTAAAATTTGTTAAAAACAAATTCAAAACGTCTAAAATTGTTAAATTTTAATACAAAATTGAATCAGTTATAATTTTTGACCTTATATATATATATTTGTTAATATTTACTGTAAAAAGCCAATTTGAATAAAATAATTGAAGTTTAAAGTGAATCAAATTCTAAAATTTAAATCAGTATCATGACTTTATAAAACATAATACAAAATCGAATCAATAAATAACACTATTTGAACTTAAAATACTTAAAAAAAAATACCTTTAAAATGTAAATAGCTCAAAAATAAAATCACCGAAATGTTTTCAAATTTTACCACGTCTAGAAAAGGTTAGTAAAAGTATTGTGTGAAAATCGAAAATAATAACAGCCACTGTTATAAGTAATTTAATGTATATCTGTGAGCAACGATAGACCATTGCTAACAAAAAAACGATTCTGAGCGGAGTTCAGTTGATAGTAATGCTTTGTCAACAATATATTATATGTTATATTATGGTAAAATAACTAAATAGGCATTATATATTTTTTTAATATTGTACCGATTTTCTCGTTTATCTTATATTTTCCCGTTTTTCTTCTTTTTTTTTTCGGTTTTTCACATTTGACGTGAAAACTCTTGAGAAATCGAAAAATGACGTCCCTAAATTTCCTCTCCACTTCGATTTTAAAAAAAGGTGCTACATTTAAAAGTCGGAGCAAGATTTCTAGTAGGAAAGTTTCGTACAGATAAAAAAAATAAAATAAACATCTTTGTAAAACTGTAAGTTTTTTCGTTCCGCTCAGAATCTAAAATAACTTCCAAATACACCAGTAAGATTTAAAATGCTACAAAAGAGCTATTTTGTTATTTTTTGATTGGAACAAGATGTTCGGTAGAAAAATGAATACAATATTACATTTATTTTTATTAAAATAGATTTAAAGATACAATTTTGACAGAACGTGTAAAAATCATGACTCATTTTAATTATCGTAGTAGTGAATCAAATGAATGTATTCACAATAAATTTACAACGTCCCGATCAATATTGTTGCGGTACTTATTTTCCTCGGGACATTGGGAAAATAATAATTTTATAATAATATCGTTTCCACATTTGTAAAAACGATAAAACTGTTGAAAAAAGGTATCAGTGATTGTTATCAGACCGATTTATTTTACGGAGTTATTATTATTACTTTATCTGGATTTTTTTCACCAATATATAATCGTCATTTCGTTAACATGCGCACAAATATATTATTTTGGAATGAGCTATCAGTACACCGTGTATTTTCATGTGCGTGAGTGCGATTGGCGTGTATCTATATTATAATCATATAAAATAAGTGATTCTGGAGAACAAAGTACTCCACCGAAAAAGGTAAAATGTCTTGGCCTCTGCAGTTATTTTTTTCATGACATTTGCATTACACAACTCGTGGAACAGCTTTTGTATGTGTGTTGAACACACATTCGCCTATTCTTGGTGGAATTGAATTCTAGCTAAAGGTGGCCTGCCATTCGTTGAGCGCAGAATTCCTCTTCCAACAGAGTTTTGAGTGAGTCCCACTCTTCTATTTCCCTATACCCATACGTATTTCCCCGCAATTTTGTTTTAATTGTCTGTAGTAAAACGGATTTGCTTTTTGTTGCGACGGTAAGTAAGTGGAATTTTATAAGCATTGATGAACGGGTATACGTCTGAGGGCACGTTACCGTCAAATATCAGGATCAACCGGAGTGCGTCTCAATATTATTTACGGGTGGTGTTGATGTGTGTTGATTCGGGTTGATGTGCCGCTCGCGTGCGCGTATGTGTGTGTATTATATTAGTTGCTGTGTTCCAGTGACGTTTAACGTCAGCGTCGTGTTTGGTCTCAGTAGTCGCAGTGATGGACGAGGCAGCGGTTACTCTGGTGTTCCCCTCGGCCACTCGCTGTGTGCGATGTGTTTTTTTTTCTTAATTCGCGTCGGTATTTGTGCCTACGCCAATTTGACTTATCGGCTTAAACAAATTTCGTGATTCACGCACTGAATTGTCCAACAGCTGAAATAATGTGTCAGTATTTCCGGCGGCGGCGGTTGTTGACCTGATAATCGGCTTGTGGAAGTCTTGTGTTTGTACCACCCCTTCCTACTGTCATCACTATCGAATGTGTGGTCGGTCAAATACTTGTCGTCAGAATTTGCTGACATGCACCCCTTTTTTTTCTAAATATTCGATTTCATATAGCTAAACCGGATCTGATGCAACGTTTTAAATATGGTTAAATAATAATAAAAGATGAGTGGAATTAAATTCCTTTTATAACTATGCGTAAATCTAAATATTCCAAGTTTAACTATTAATGCTCGGTTGTTTTTTTTCATCAGAATAAAATGAATAAAAAATCCATAATATCTAGTAAGAATCGTGGTAATTTGTTATAGCTTAGGTCTAATGTTATGCTTATGATCCGAAATAAGTAAATGCAATAGGGGAAAAAAATATAAATAAATTTGTTATGGTTGATGACCGATTTCTTTGTAGATTTAATTATTGGAAGAGAAAGTTTAAAAAAAAAAAACTAATAGAGGACACAGAAATGGCTCTAATTAAATGTTACATAAGAGATCAGAGACACCAGTGGTTTGGGCACTTTATGCGTGGAAATAACGACAACATAATAAAAACAGTAATGTCCTGGAAACCGACAGGTAAAAGGCCACGAGGACGTCCAAGGGAAAGGTGGATAGACGTGGTCGAGGAGGATTTAAAAATGATAAGAGTGAATGAGTGAAGAAATATAACTCGTGATCGGGAGAAGTGGCGTGAAGCTGTGACGTTAGAAAAAATTCGTGTAGAGTAGATTAAGCCAGTAGAAGAACTCAAACGGTAGAACTCGGATTAACTCTCCACCGTACACGAGTCGCGCGCCGTGCGGGCTGCTTTGTGCTGAACAGCATTTGCATACAGTGGTTTCTAACACGACTCGTGTAGGAGTTCATAACAGGAATTGGGAGAAAACATCTATCAGATGTAGGTTAGGATATCCCTATAATTATTATAACGATTTTAGCATCAAAACTACTATTACTTTTTTCGCAGGCAGCTATTATTTCAGGCAAACATTTTTCCTTAGTGCCTGTTCGAAATCTATAGTTGAGCAGAGAACGTGATACGCGCATGTGTTGTCTGTGTATTACAAATGCACGACCATAGCAAATTTGCATTCAGAGGGATAACATATTGTGCTGTTGGTTTTAAAATTACAGCTAATTGATTTATTGACTTGAACTTAAAGACAAGTTTTATTATCTGTGTAACTTTGGCTCTATTATTCTTCGATATTTTTGAATGTTCAAGAGAGATACGAACAGGTGTCAAAGCAAAATCACAAATAGTTAATAATGCATATAACTCGCTTGAAAATTAAAATACCGACAAAATAGTCATCTCTAAGTTTGATTATAGATCAATTATCTCTAATATTAAAACGTACAGCACAAGGTTGTCCCCGTCGAACGCAAATTTTCCATGTTGTATAAGATGGCACACGTGCGTATTACGTCCCCATAAAAGAGTTGACTATTTTTCTGTACACGAAAGACAATATCGTGAGTAATTGAAAATATTACAAGCTTAAACAAACTGGCCATCTGTACTACAGGTAGGTATTGCAAGTCAGACGATGCAGAAATAACACTGGCTTGGCCCAGTATAGTTGGAAAATACTGTTTTGACACGTGTCATGAGTTGTATACTGGGTCAATTTTTATTATTTTCTGGCCAAAAAGTCTTATCCCAAAATAAACATTACGACAAATTCCAATTATAGGGAATGAATAATGCGTCGTCGTTTCACCTGAAAACCCGATTCATCCTACACTCCCAACAGTCGGTCACCGATGTAATAATATACTATAATTAATTAAACATAATTTACGCTGGGTAGATACATATATTAAAATAGCCATGTTATATGCGAGTTCTGTGTGCTTATATTAATAAATAAATTTATTGGGAAAATGTATTTATGAATATTATAATATTATTTATGTTGAATACGAGTGTTTTATGACCCGTATATAATTATTAAAAAAAAATTACAGCTGAAAAACGAATTATTTATATGGACACCTGTTTAATTAGAGTATTTACAATGATAAAATTACAACATTACGTAGTATAAAGTCAATGGGCAAAATATATAGAATAATTTGCTACAATTGATTGTATAATATGTGCAACAATCGGCCATCTCTATTAAACATCCCTTTTATGTTAGCTTTTAAATTCTGAGCGTCAAAAGGTGTCATTACGGAGCAGCGCCGTTTTCACCGTCGTTGCAAATTAATAGACACGCGTAATTTTAAAAAAAGTATAATTTTGTTAAATAAAGAAAGATTTCTAGTAGAAAAGTTTTTAACAAACAAAAATAAAAAACAATCCCGCATCATAGTAAAACCAATACATACCTTTGCAGAGAACCTAAAATAAAATATTGCAACGGGGACAATTTTACTTCATCGACAGAGCACTGTTGCTCACCGGTGTTTTTCGTCAGAATTTTTGATTTCAAGGACCAGATATATAATAACATAAAATTATAGAGATTATATCTTGATTTTTGATAATAATAAAAAAATTAGACAGGTTAACTCTTACGTGTTACAATTCAAGACTTTCTTTTTCCAAAGGATCTTTGTTTGTAAATAACGAATAACAATTATACGATTAAAGTATAAATATATTTATTATTATGACATTGTTCAGAGACAGTACATAACTGTTAAGAATTATATACTGGAAATGTTGGAAAATCATTTGAAATTTGTTATCATATTATCATAAAAATTGTTATTTAGTTTGATAGTTATTTGTATTGTAGAGATAGTATGTATTGTATATATTGTATAGATAGGTAACAAAAATTATTTATAATAATTAATAACGTTATATTTATATTACATATCAATACGGAGTTTTAAAGAACACGCACAAGTAAATTTGTACTACTATAATGTCCAATTATTATTCGTAGTTACTTCAAGTAATTTTTAACAAAGTTTAGTTAGGTATAGTCATTTTAGTAGATAATACAAACTAAAATCTGTAATTTATCGAAAACCAGTCAGAGTATTATATATTATTGATAAGCATTTTCATAAATAACACCATTCAAAGGTTAAAACTGCATTATTTCCAACATTTCCTTACTTAATGATAAAAATTGATGTGATGACATTCTTATCTTACAATACATACACTTTCTTCTTTTACCCAGTACATTTAAATGAAAATTACAAAATATATTTATATGGTATACAACATTAATAATATTATGTTATAATTCACTGAACCCTAGAACAATGTTTGCCAAATATAATAAATACAAAATAAATAACAAAACACAAAAAAAAAAAAAAAAAAA